CCTGCCTTCACCCTGAGTCAGCTGGGATAGACTCCAGCCCCCCATGACCCTAGTGAGGATTAAGCGGTGTATAGATAATAGACGGATGGATGGTATAGTGAAATAACGTCTTTTAATAGAGTATTTATTTTTTTGCTATTTTGTTATTTGTATCACCTTTTAACTTGTTTTTTGTTAGACTGAGACCTTATTAGCTGCTACAAAGATGATGCCTAACACACTTCTTCTAAAAGTAAATCTATTTTATGGTACTGCTTTTGCAATTCTATAAAAAAAAACTCTAGATTTCTAACAATTAGTAACAATACATACAAATATCATCTGATTGATTTGTCCATATATATATATATATATATAATGGCATGCCGTTTGGGAAATTATATATATAATGAAAGCTTGTATATACATAATGAAACTCTGAATATATATAATTAAAGTCTGAATATATATAATTAATCTCTATGGGTTTCCATAGAGATGGCGGAGCGCATAGATGCAGCAGCTCCTTCAGGAGACAGCGAGAGTGAAAGTTTTGAGTGTCTATCCCAGACATTCATTCCACAAAACTTGTTATTATATATTCAGACTTTTCATTATCATTAACAAGAATATATATATCTCGCACTACTTACACCCTGTCTGCCATGCTGCTATTAGTACCATTTGGGGACAACGGTCACTCATTTGTTCTCTCCAACAACGGCCTTCCTTTAACCTGAGAGAAAGGTCACATTCTTTCATTTCTAATCCCAACAGTCTGCTTTTCCACTCAGGATCATAACAGAAATGAATTTCTCATCACTTTGTTGCATCATTTTCTGTTTCCTCTTTAAATAAGGGCCGCCGTACACGAGAACCGGGTCTTTCCACAGCGCTGTGTGGTGAGATCAAAAGAGCGGCTTTAAATGGTATGGGAGTGTGTGCTTAGAGAGAAAAGATGAAACAGCAGGTCAGCAGATAAAATGCCACAGAAATGAGAAATGTAGGTATGTGGTAATTGTAACGCCGTCTGTTTTTGGCAACATTTCTATTTTACAGCTGAGCAGTTAATTCACCTATAAGGGTGCTGTAAATACGGCGGGTCATCGCGTGAATTGTGCTGCTTATTCAGAGCTGTTTGTATGTTTCAGTGAGCAAATTCAAGGAATTCACAGCGTGACAATGAGACAAAACGACTAAAAGGTGAGCATTAAATATTTAAACCTGCTACAGTCGGGGGTTGTAATATTCTCTCATTTTCATTCTGTTTAAATTTCTGGTTCAAATATTCTTATCTATCTTCCTACTTTCGGTGCAATCTCACAGAAAATGAAAATTTGGGTCCCATTGTGTTTCTGTTCGACACATTCTCAGCGAGCATTCAGACAGCTCGTGTAAATACGACTGTGTGTTTGTTTAGGTGATAAATACTTAGGATCAAGAGGGAATTTCTACAAACTTTATGCATAATTCAGTGCGACATGAAGAACCAGGGCACCCTCCAACTCAGTCAGCACCCTTCAATTATTAAAGTCCGGCTTGGCACGAGGAGCACCCCAGGTTCAACAGGAAATGATATTAGCAAATGCTTCTGCACAGCCCGAGATAATAATGTTTGGAGAAGGTGTTTTAAAATCCTCATTGCAGACGATTTTGAAGAGTCACTTGTTTTGTTACCAGCAGCAAGATTTTTATTTTTTTTTCCCCCCTCGCTTGAAGTGGAGACCCCTGATTATGTTTAGCGTGGGTCAACAGACTAACACAGTATTGGATTGACCAGACCCAGCCTCGGCCCCTGTCACTTGACCTCCGTGCATTACATTAAATTACATGACTATGCATTACATTAGCGCTGGAGAGTCGATGGCAACCGAGGAGGAGCTGCGTATGTGGTTTCGCTGGCAGGGTTTAACGGAGGAGCTCGTATGACTCACAGGATTCTTATTGTCACCATGTGAAGTGATGACGTGAGTCTTACAAAACTGCTTATGTTTGACAAAATATAAACAGGACATGCTGTGCTATCAGGAACATGGGTGGGCTGGCCTGAGCCAAAGTAAAAGTGTCCAGGCTGGCCCATCTGAAGGCCTTGGCACTGAGAGCATCCACGGATGTACGAAATCATGCTCACAAAAGCAACACAACCACCACTGAGCGCGACAGATTTCCTATGACGCCACACATTTCCTTTTTGCTGCTAATCCTGGAGGTATCCCGTGTTTACCGGCAGTGCTAAGCAATACCTTTATGTCTGTGAGGATTCTCAGTCATCCAGGTCATGGATCAAGATCTCTCCCCAGGAAGATGAAACCACATTCACACCTAGCCACAAAAAACAAATCCCATTGTGGCACTAACGAGTCACACAGCGAGGGGGAGGAGCAACCACCCCCGATTGAGGTGTTAATGACTCCTTAAGGATATAAGTACTCCCAATTAGTCAGTCAGAACTGATGAAGCCTCTTGGATGAGAGGTGGAACATCTTTAAGGAACTCCAGTTGCTACAATTAATCTACGAGAACCCCAAACCTTTAGTGTATTCTTCAACAAAAAAAAGAAGCCTTTAGGCAGTCAACCTACCTCGTTTGTCGAAGTTATGCTTTATATCGTCGTCCTTGCACATCATGTCCGTGTGTCCTCCGATGCCAACGTTAACTCCATAGTCGTCCAGCACCTTCCCGTCGCTCAGCTTGTTGTGGAGCTGGTTGGGCGTGGAGTTGAGCGAGTGTCCGCCGGCGTCGTCTTCGTCGCAGTCGTAGTCGTCGAGGATCGGGGTCTCCCGGATGGGCATCCCGATGACGGAGCTGCCGTGCTGGTGGGCGTTCCTGGAGCCCCGGTAGCTGTCGCGGCCCTGCGGCCCGAGCAGAACCGAGGGGATGTAGTGGATTTCGTGAGTGGCCTCGGTGCTGGCGCTCTTCTGCGGGATGCGGCGACGCTTGCACCACCGGTGGCGGGTGTAGAGGACGAGGGTGAAGAGGAGGATCAGGAGGAGGAGGGCGATGAGGCCTCCCTGGATGAATGCGAAAGAAAAGACGATTGAATACGAGGGACGTACACAAGGACGGCTATTCTTATATGACGTTTAATGTGGTAACCGGCTATACAAATGGGAAATTAAAGGGACAAATTACAGCTTACAATAACAATTGCAATCACGGCCTCGGTGCCAGTTATATTAGGCTGAATGCCAATTAACACCATTTGCCAGCTATTACAAGAGGTCTGGCAATGAGCGCTTTGATATGAGCGTTCTCACAGCAACATGAGGCTGCTGACAAGAGTTCTGACAAGACCAGCACATTTCTGCCTGCTACAGTAGAAGTGCGCCGGTCAAAAATACCCCAAAACTATTTTTACCGCAGCCTGAAATACAACTTTGCAGAATCATCATCTGTGAGAAAAAAACGATCACCAGTTGGCATTAATCAAGCACATGTCACACGTATAGAATATAATGTAGATCCAAATTTAGAGCAGTGCTATGAATGGTGAGTCCTTTTTCACATGTTTATGATGCACCCCTATAAGACAAAGGAAGCTGATGTGGATTAAACTATTTGTGGACTTATTCAGGAAAAGAGGAATGAAACACAGCATACCCCCGTAGCCATGATGACATTAGCAAGTAATTAGAAGATAGGAAGGATACAGACACACACACACACACTTAAAAGCACTTCCACACACAATAAAATTACTATACAGCACTTTACACATTTTAATGCTTAAAATCAGCCTTTTGTTCATTCAGAAGCCAGTCATACAATCTGTGCCCGCATGCAGATTTTACACGCATTAATTGACATGCACAGTCCATACTAGCTTCGTAAACCGAAGCCTTAAAAAAAAACGGCAGTAGACTTGAATCTGCCCTTTGACAATAATTCCACATCACGAGATTTGCAAATGATGAATTTGAAGCATGAAGGGATTGTATTATGCTGTGTAAATGTTCCTGTTATTGCCTCCATTCCTTATGTATCTCACCGACACATACGCAGCAGTCAGGCAGAAATAATTGTCTTTGCAGCAGCGCTGCATCTGGACTCCTATCTTCTGAGTGTCACACACACCAATGCACAAGGGTTGTTAGCCTGTTTTGCCCTCTTTCCTCCCTAAGCCCTCACTACAGCCTTGTAAATTCACAAAGGAGCGTCGCATTTCTCCGCGGTTCATTCAATATCTGACCATCACAGATACATCAAACAGCCTGCCATACGTGCGGTGGCTGGATGCTAATGTAAATCTATATGCACGGGCAGAATGGTGCAAAGAAAGGCAGGCCGTGACTTATTCTTTGATTTTTCACAATGGCATCCAATAGGTGAGATGTGGTATTGGATTCAGCAAGACATGGCAACCTAAGGGTAATATATTTGTAATGTCGGACAGAAAACATAGTGTCAGCACTTTTGCCAGCCCATATTTAACGATGTGGCTATATTTACAAAATTATACCCGTGCACGCACGTACGCATGCACGGCGGCCCGGTGCGCGCGCAGACACACACTCGAGACGGAATAATAAATAAAATCCACAAGGGTTCATTCATCACAACATTTAAAATTCCATCTTCATGAAGAAAAACAAACCCCTTTCAAATTATAACTCATGCACTGCTGGGTGTCCATAAATCAAGTATGCTGAGAGGTAAGGCGGCACGGAGAGGACTAGTACCACGGACAAACTTATCCATTAATCTCCAATGGGATGGCAGCTTTGCAGGAATGCAAGTCTTACAAAGTCCCCTTAGCCTGGACTCCTGCGTTAGCTCCCCCCTGAAGAAAAAAAAAAAACATACGAAGGCTTCTGTTCCATTTTCGGAGTGCTAATGTGCGGCACAAATGAAAAATGGTAATGCAAAAAGGAACGAAATACAGCAAAAAGAAATGTTTTGTGCCGCTTTATTCATCTCAACGCTCCTTGTCACTGGGATTGTTTGTTTGCCGTGAATGCAATAAAAAGACATTTCTGACATTTAAAACCTTAATTGCCTTCCTTACATTTAAAATCTGAATCTGCCGATTTAATACGCGAGCGAACTGCATTCAAGCTTTCAGTGCAAAAAAAAAAGTTCTCCGTATCACAAGTCAACTTTTGTCTTTCCAGTGTCTGTTATTTTAACTGTCTCTGTTACCTCGGTGCCCTTAAGAGTTTATCTTTCATGTGCTTTTTTTTTTTTTTTTTTCTCTACCTCCCTAATTCGTTTCTCTCAAATTTCCTTCCCCATATCATCTCGCAGTGTTTTCCTCTGCGCTTGCCACTGTTCTCGCTTTTTGTTCTCGCTCCCTCTCGATTACTCCGCGCCTCTCCGTCTACGTTTTCCCCCCTCCTTCATGTTTGATCGCATCTTTTCTTCCACTCTTCAGTACAACAGCCATATAAATTCACAGTGGCAGATGTAGCCATGAGGGAAAATGGGTTTTCTGTTCATCTTCAGACCCTACAAATCCCCGCTGCTTTCGTCCCGAGTGACTTTACGGGGAGGAGAGTGGCTGGAAGCTCCCCATAATTCCACTCTTTTCTGTAGTGTAGGTTTACCGCAGTCCATGATTATTTTCCTTACTTTGCATTCCTTTTTACCCATAATACTCCCATTTTCCATCTCAATCACTCTTTTTTTTTCTCCTCTGCACCCTTTTCATATTAGCTTTCCATTACTGTTTTTCTCTGTCCCTGTTTTTTTTTTTTTTTACCTCCCATTTCCCTTTTCGCTTGCTAGATCTTGTTGCCTACTTCCTTACATATCCTCCCCGCTAAGCTTGATTACCGCCGTTTCATCCCTTCTCGCTTACTTCTTATCCTCATTCTTTTACAGATTGAATGGAATATGGCTGCAAACACCAAGCGCTGAATTATTAAACAATTACTCAGATTAAACTATCGCGCTGGTTTCACCATTACAGTCCTCTTTAAAACTGCAGAGGGAGAAGGACAGCAGCAGCAGCAAAACAAAAAAATTATTTGGCAGTTATGGAGCTATAACAATCAGTGACAGTCTGAGTGATCCGGTAGAAAATTTACAGTTAATAAAAATGTTAAAATATGCTACCGCTGAGGCACTTCCACCGCGGTAACCGTCCTCACGTACGAGGCGAATATGCAGCGTGATTATCGTGGCTCCGGGAATTTGAATCGTGTTATTCCGGGTGTTTTAAAAACTACACAGATTGAATTCTAGTGTTTCTTGTAAATTGACCTTTAAAACAGTTATATAGCCAGCCTGAGGGATACGTACAGTGTTTTAGGGGGGATTTATTAGACCTACAAAACGTTTGCTTCAACACGATCATGCGAGGTGATGAACAGCCCGTACAACAGAGAATAAAACCTCCATAGGAATCACTGACTCTCACATTCCAGCCTTATAATGAACACATAGTTTACACGGGTGCTTGAATGCGGCGACAACTTAGATATTTAGTTATAGACAACGTGGCTACGTTAAGTAGTAGAAAGTCGAGAAGTTAAGCACCATAAAGCAAAACCCCATTAGGCTCGATCATTAAGCCTGACTGAAGTGAATGCAAATTAAATCTATTCAATCACCGATTAATTGTAGGCAGACCCCAGTGTGTGCTAATGAAAAACGCAGCAATACGCACAGTCGGGGTTCGGTTCGGCTTTAAAAGCTACACAATGACCGCATAAATAGGGTTTTTATTACGATTTCAGCCGCCAGTCTTGCCAAGAGTGAAGCTGTTCTTATCCATGTAGCTGAGGAATTGGAATATCTGCATTTCCAGTGTAATTTCCTGCTTATATTTCCTTAAAAGTACAATATGATATTTACTCCTATATTGCCTCAGGAGCGTTGGCGTGCTGCTGAACTATAGTTTTTTTTGACTAGTCAGGTTGCAAAACACGTGGTCAGCATTTACTTAATCACACAGACGATTACCAAAAAAACAAATATATAAATCAAACTGCAGCAAAAAAAAAAAATCTCGAGTGTGTTTGCGTAGGTGTTTGGCTGTTTTTATCCCGTCGGTCTATTTATTTCTGACATTCCGTCTAATCTCTGTAAAAAATTCTTGCGAGTCGATGGCATTGCTTCTGTTGGAAGACAGAAATAGCGCTGTCACCATGGATCTCTCAGATGTGTCACTCGTCGTTGGCCCATTCATCGAAAAAAAAAAAAAAGTCTACAATAGCAGATGTCGAGGCAGATGCTTTGCCACGTTCCTTATACGGTACAAAAAAAAAAAAAAGTGAGCAGCAATAAGTCAATTAAAGCAAGATTAACTGGAAATATCCTGATTACGTATTAAATATCGTGCAACATAAGTCGTGCATCTGAGAATGACGCACAGTGTGAAGATGTTGCTTCTGCGTGTTTCAATGCAAGAAAAGAAAGAGAGCTTACGTCTCAGAGGGAACTAGTTAGAAAGAAGCAAACACACAAATGGGATTCACTTTATTGATGAAAGCTCCACTCAATCAAGCCCTCAAACCACATCAAACTCTTTAACAGCGAGGAAGTTTAATGATCAGCTGCATTGATCCACTCTTCACACTCGGATCAATGGCTCCCCCGCAGAGCATTCGAGACGCTGAGAATTTAGACTTTTTTTTTTATATGTACTCGACGACTATGACTCCCTAATGATCCTAATAAGCTTCTTTATGCGGGCGAAACAACACGACTCGGAGCCAACACATCCAACACATGCTCCGTGGTTTTAGCCACCATCTGTGCGCGGCGGAGGCAGTGGCTCAGTGAACCCCAGTAACCATCCACCTCCTGCTCCGAGCAACCGTCCACCTCCTGCTCCAAAACGGAAGAGCAGCAATCTTTAGTGCGTTCTTGAGTGAAAATGTTGCTTAAATGCTCGTTTAATCATCAGTCAAATATAGGAAAGAAAAGAGCTAGTGGATGGCGCCGGATTCCCGTGCATCCACCAGCACAGGTACGCCTTTTATCCTCCGTGTTCGTGCCACAGCGTGTCAGACAAAGACCTTCGAGGCACAAAAAAAAAAAACATCCTGTCCCTCTCACTCCAACTTTT